ATATAAAGCGAGGGTGATGCCAAAACTTTCAGGATGGTTTTCACCTCAAGAAGCAATTCAGAAAAAAGAAACTAGATCAGGAACTAATTGGATTACATATATGAATTTATTAAAAAAAGATAACTTAGGGAAATATATAATCAAAACACAAGATGAATTGGTTAAGGAAGGATTTAAACTAGATTGGTTTGGATATGGTCAAATTAAAGAACAGTTTAAAAAGATTTAAAAATCTACAATATTGATTTAAAAACAAATGAATTTGATAAAATCTGGCTAGGAAACAATAAAAAATGGATTGGGCTATTTTATAAAACACCTTTGAAATGGTACTTAGAAGAAGAAATAATAAAACCAAATATGGTTAAATGGGCTCAAAATATAGGATATCTTATTGAATTAGATAAATGGGAAAAAGTGTGGACTAAAAGAATGAAATATACCGCATCTCAGAAACAGAAGGAAAATTTTTATAAAATATATTTTCGCTGGTATTTAACTCCTGAAAAAAATTCAAAAATTTATAAAACAAAAAACAACCTTTGTTGGAAATGTGAGAAAGAACAGGGATCTTTATATCATTGTCTATGGACATGTGAAATAGTAAGAAAATATTGGACTAAAGTAATAGGAATAATTACTGATATAAATAATACCAAAATAAAAGCTCGCCCAGAAATATTCCTACTTAACATGTGGGACAATAATTTAGACAAAAAAATGGGAAAATTTTTATTTATTTAATCACCACTGCTAGGATTACTTTAGTCCAAAAATGGAAAGCGAAAACTATTCCTAGCATGAAGGAATGGTTGCTGAAATTTTATGATGTAATAGAAATGGATCGGTTGACGCAATATATAAGAGGTAATATGGTGGAAGAAAATAATTCAGAATGGGTACCAATCTTAGAATATCTTGTTAAATATTGGGGCAATCGGTAGTAGGTTATCAGTAGTACAATGATATGGTATAGGAAGTCATGGAGAATCGTTACGAGAAAATGATAAATAAATGAAACTAAGATCTAGACATCTTTTACTTGTATCACAAATAGTACAAATAAGAAAGAAGAGACAAGAAGGGAAAATGAATAAAAGGATATAAGGACAAATTCAATAAATGACAAAGTAATTAGGTAATTAATTAGAGAATATTAATATTGGAGAACAAAGAAAAGAAGAACAAAACAAACTCCAATAATCTATCTGCTGCAAGTAGGAAGTACGTATGAAAGATGTGCTGAAAGAAGAAATGGAAAGAAAGAAGAATGGAGGAGTAGAAGGTTAAGTATGTGATAGAGGGTGTGTGGAAGGGATAGAGAGAGGAGGGTGTAGAGGAAAATGGAAGTGATGGAAGGTAGTTGGATGGGGAAGGTGGGAAGCGAATGAGTTAGAAGAATAAGGATGGAAGGGTAGGAAAATGAAAGAAGATGGGAGAAGGGAAATAAAAGGGAGTTGAATGATATTACCAACAGTAATAATTATTGTATCCCGAAGTATAAACTTTTGTAATCATATAGAGAGCCCACTAATGTATGATATTTGGTAATTGTGGAAAGAAGACTCCCTCCTCAAAGAAGATACGAACAAGATATTGATGTAAAGAAGACAAGAAACAAGCTATATTGTATGATTGTTTTATTTGATGTATGGAATGTGTGTGTTTTTTTAATCAATAAAATCTAAAAAAAGGAGTAGTTTTCAGGATCAGAATTGTTGTTGTTGCTGCTGCTGCTGCTGTTGTTGTGTGTTTTCAAGTCATTTCCAATTTATGGCAACCCTAAGGTGACCCAGTCATGGGGTTTTCTTGGAAATATTTGTTCAAAGAGGTTTGACACTGTCTTCCTCTGAGGCTGAGTGTGACTTGCTCAAGGCCACCCAGTGGGTTTGCATGGCCAAACGGGGATTTGAACCCTGGTCTCCAGAACTGTAGTAAAATCCTCAAAACATTACACTACGCTGACTCTCAGGCTATAATCCTATGCTCTCTTGTTTGGATGCAAGTACCATTGAATTCATCAGAACTTCTTATGAGTGGACACAAAAAAAGGCTGTCCTCTGAGAAGCACTGAAAAAAAAAATTCTGCTGTGATTAGTCATTCCTACATCCTGAGGAAGGTCCTAGTTCTCTCCTCCACTTTCCCTGCAAGATGAAGAACAATTCTACTTCTGGAAGATTGTATATACATAATAAGTAACGAAATATAAAAAATGGAGTTGCCCCTAGGTTGACCCCATGAAAAATGATTGGCTGTGTATCTTTCTATATTGCTGCTGGAATTCCAAGTTCTTTTGCTGCTTAGACTGTTCCTGGTACGTGCAATGCTACAGTAATTCAATTTAGTAATTTTACTGAACTGTACAGTAACCCAGATGCTGTTGTGAGCAAAATAAAATAAAATAAAAATCCTGCTAGCTCTTTCCAGTCAGTCCTATGTAGCCAGCTGCATGTCTCCTCCAGTTCTCTCTTTTCATCATCAGCAAGGCTCAGTCCAGTAATACTCTTTCTTGTGTTTTGTTACAAACACAGTCAGAACCAAGCTACACGGGTAAAATGCTCCTGTTCTTATGCCCTTGTTATGCCATCTTCTAAGCAGAATTCTGGTTTTCGATCTAACATCTTGAAAGCACCTCCACTTATGCTGTTGTTATTGTTTGCCTTCAAGTAATTTCCAAGTTATGGTGACCCTAAGGTGAACCTGTCACTAGACTTTCTTGACAAGATTTGTTCAGAGAGAGATTGCCATTGCCAGGAGCCCTAATGGCACAGTGGTTAAATGTAAGTACTGCAGCCACAAGGTTGTGAGTTCAATCCCAGGCATCATCTTATTCTTGAAAGCTCTTTCTGCACTCTTAAAAACCACACAAGAGTATCTTGTCTCGTCATTCTTCTGCATGGGCCAAATAAAATGCCCCCCCCATTCTCTTGACAGGGAGTCTGGATGATGCCCAGCCTAAACTCCGGCTCTACCAGCCCATTTAGCACCAAACCCAGAGTATAAAGCCCTTATAATGAATTGAAATAACTCACCAGTTGCACCAGATCTTCCCAGAAGATCCAGAGCCCTCCGTTCTGACTCTGTGCAGCTGTTTGAATGTGTGCTCCACTGTGCTGTGTCACCCAGTTTCAGAACAGAGGGCCAAGGTAATGGGAGGATATCAGGAGGCTCCAGGGCTAGAATTCTCTGGGCTGCTCCTGGAATATTCTGGCCAGTGCAGACACCACCTTTGTTGCCAGAGAAATCAGCATGGCTGGAGGAAGAATCTCAGGAGGAACACACTTAGGAATTTATTACACATGCTTTTTCCCTGCCCCAGCATGGGCTGAAAATTTTGGATTTTTTTTTAAGATCGGGTTTTATCGCACACTACCCAATCTTAGCCATATCAGTCCCCAATCCATTCCCTATCTGTCCTAATCCCATCCTTCACAAAGGATTGGTAACTCCTGTCATTTGTGAAGGATGGGATTAGGACAGATCGGGGATAGCTTGGGGACTGATCTGGCTAAGACTGGGTCACAACACCTCCAGTCTATGGATGGAGGTGTGCGATAAAATTTGACCTTAAAATTTTCCCCCCAAAAATTCAGTCTGCACTGTGGCTGGGAAAAAGCCAGGAAAAATTGTGTGCAATAAATTTCTTAGTCTTCACTGACAGGGAAAGGAACAACACTACTACTAAAATGCTGTCCTGGAATCAGGCCCAAGAGACCCAATCTGACAAACATCAGGGACTATGGCACTGCAGTATTATGACCTGATATCACAGGACTTCACGCAAAACAATTTTAAATAACCATAAACTAACACTCCAGTTTGCACCTCTCTCACACATAAAAGCAAAAGGATTCGGTTATTTTTTTTTTCAGTTGGCAAAATAGATGTGAAATGGAGTCAGGAGTTTTATCTCAGCTGTAATTGCGACCCACTGTATATACTAGTTCTGAATGTCTCCAAGAACCCTGGTTTTCAAAGTGACTGTATTTGACTGTATTTGTAATCTCCAAATATCTCAAATGTTAACATACAGATTACCTACTTATGACTGCTGACAAGCATGTATATGCATACATATGGTGATGCATGATATGGCAAGTATTCAAGCCAGCTTTATACACCAGATGGGCTTCTTTACAAGAAGGCTTTGGAGATTTGCATATTCATGAGATAAAGGCCATGGTTTCTTAGCTAGAGAAATGAAAGGATTGAGGGACGGACACAAATCTGTGGAATGAAAATGCAAAATGCTTATGATGTGAAGTAGACAAAAGACATTTTCTGATATTGTATGTGGTAACATTTCACATGATAGCGATATTTTCCTTGTTTCAAACACAGAGAGGAAAAAGTGGAGACCTGCAACAAGAGTCCAGTCTAAAAGTGTGTCAAACATCCCCAACCATCATTTATTACATGGGAAAGAAGGGGAAATAGACAGTGACATTGGAGAAGGGAGTGGTACATTAAAAACATTGTTCCCAGACTCACTGTTTTCCAGGGAACACAAAGCACCCAAGAGGAACCAAACTGCAGCTAGAAGCAAGATTTCTCATTTTTTGCCTCTCTCAAAAAGAAAGAAAAATCTATAGTCACCTCATATTTAGAGATCAGACAAAACACTTTAAATTTGCCTTTCTCAAAGATACAGTCTTCAGCAATGCTCTCTCAAACTGAGTATTTCACTTTAATATCACAAGAAGGAGAATTTGGGAGAGTGGCAAAGGAAAAAATAATTTTCCCTCCCTTCCTCACATAACCAAAATGTTGACTTTATAAAGTTTAGTTATTTTATCTCTATATTTTCTTTCCTCCTCCTCCTCCTTCCTCTTTATCTTTTTCTATTGGAAGGAAATCTCTGAATATTTTTTGCTAGTCCTAGTGTGCTGTAGTGGTTTGAGCACTTGACTAGGACTCCAGAGACCAGGGTTCAAATCTCCACTCAGCCATGGAAATCCACAGGGCAAAGGGCAAAGGCAAAACCACCTCTGAAAGAAAATCTGCCAAGAAAGCCCTGTGATAGGTTCACTTGAAGGTTACCATAAGTCAGAAGTGACTTGAAGGCACACAACAACAACAACAGGGAACATCAACCAGCCATTGAATAGCTCAAGATCACTTTCAATAGAATCCAAAATAAATCCAACCCTTGTTTAAACAAAGTTTTGAAGTTTTGTGTATTAGAAATCCAACTAGGAACTCCAGGTTCATTTCTTGGTTTAGCAGAAAACCAAGTTACAATTGTGAGGAGGAGGAGGAGGATAGCATCTGCTATCCAAATAAATTCCTAACATTCATGAGACAATTCATAAGCTGTTCAGCTTCATACATGCAATAGTGAAATTTTTAAATCATGGAGAAGAAACCCACAAATCTGAGAAAATAAAAGAGAAGAACCACCCATCTATTAACATTTGATGGTTTCTTTACAATGCAAACAGTAGCTTCAAAAAGGTGTTTCAGATATAACATTCTCTGTTCACTTGTCTTGAACTTGTCAGTTCAAACCAGAGTAGAGCCACTGAATCAATGAAATGTACAGAAATGTTGATGCACCAAGTCATCTGTGATTCACTGTGTCTATTCTAGACGAATCTAGCAACAGGCCAGTGTCTTTTGAAACAGTCACAAAAGCACCTTCATGGGGAATTTTAATTACATAATATTTTTGGAGCTGGGCATTGGTAAAAACCAGGACCATAGTTAACAAATTTATTTGAAAAACCTGTTTGCAAGATCATTATATAATATATTAATCCTGATTCAGAGGTAGGGATAGATGCATATCTTTTTCTGCAGGGGGGTCTACATTTCCCTATGAAGATATCAATTTCTCACCTCCCAAGATGCAACAATTTAGGATGCATTCTGATTTGGCAATCCAAGACAAGCAATGCCGCTAAGTACAAAAAAATGTGCACAAGACTGTGAAGTCGAAGACTTTCACGGCCAGCATCCATGTTTTTTTGTGGGCTTTTCAGGATGTGAGGCTGTGTTCTAGTAGAATTTCTTCCTGACATTTTGCCCGCATCTGTGGCTGGCATCTTCAGAGAATGGTGGCATGGAAGTGAGTGGGATATATATATACTGTGTGACCCTTGGTTAAGAGGATGTGATTTGAATGTTAATCTGTGTATTGTTCTGTTGTTAAATGGCAAGGCCCCAAACCCAGAAAAAATCATAGGAGTGAAGAAAAACAACCACCCAAAGGGAAGTTATTTTTACCATACATCAAAGGAGTCACAAACAGAATAGGAAAACTGATGAGGAAACAAAACCTCCAAATGCTCTACAAACTGACCAAGAAAATCCAGGAAATGCTGCACTCAGCTAAGGAAAGGATAGACCCTCTCACAGCCATAGGAGGTTACTGCATACTATGCAGCTGCAGAGAAGTCTACATAGGAACCGCAAAACACAGTGTTCAAACACGAATCAAGGAACACGAGAGATACTGCAGACTGGGCCAGCCAGAAAATTCAGCAGTAGCAGAACACGTTATAAACCAACTCGGGCATAAAGTGCTATTTGAAAACACTGAAATTCTGGACTATGCCAAAAACTATCAGGTCAGAATGCATAGGGAAGCCATTGAAATCTACAAACACTTGGACAACTTCAACAGGAAAGAAGAAACCCTGAAAATAAGTATGGCTACCAGTCCTGAAAAACACAAAAATCAAGATCCAGCACATGCAAATGAACTACACCCAAGGGCAGGGGTTTTCCCAGCAGACAATGGACCACTGATTAAATAGACACCAATCCTCCTCACATATCCTCCCACCCTGAGGCCTTGCCATTCAACAAGAGAACACTACACAGATCAACATGCAAATCACTTTTTCTCAACCAAGGGTCACACAGTGGTGTGTGTGTGTGTGTGTGTGTGTGTGTGTGTGTGTATATATATATATATATATATATATATATATATATATATATATCACTCTCTTCCATGCCACCATTCTCTGAAAATGCCAGCCATAGATATAGACAAAACATTAGGAAGAAATTCTTCTAGAACAAGGCCTCATGGCCCGAAAAGCCCACAAAAACGCATGTACAAGATTGTAAAAATGTGAATGGCCAAACTGTGCATATTTCAAAAATACTTAGTCAATGGGGGAAATGCAATGCAAATACAAAAACAAATTGCATGTCAAATATGCAAGTATGCATACAGTTCCATGCAGAGAAGATAAAAAGGAAAACATGATGGGATGAGAATCCCAATGACATTCTGAGTTATCCCTCTTAAAATGAGTCTGAGATATATTCACACCAATATATAAAAGTACTAGATGTTCTTTCGACTCCACTCCCCAAAATGAGTCATTAATTTGTTTCCTAAAGTACAAGAATTTAGCATGAGCAAGGCAACTTTAAAAAAAAGCCCAAGATGTCTTCAAAGCAACCCCAGCCACCACCCACTACCAATCAATGCTACTTCAAAGAGTTTTGAAAGCATGGGATCTTTTCAAATCTAATTACATTATTTTACTCTCCAGTTTCCTCCAATCATCAAATAATGAAGTCATCTCTTTGTGCCACAGTATAGCTGTTCCATCATCTCAGTGCTTAAGAAAGGAAAAAGTTAGCAAAAGAGGTACTGGTGACAATACTGATAGATATGAGAGATAACAGTGAAAATGAAAACAAATCATGCAAATTGTATATGCAGAGCACTTTTTTTACACTTGTACCTTATTCTGCTCTTCTTCAGCATTCTTTCATTTTTGAAGTTTATTCAGCATCATATCTTTATGAGGAATCATGAAACCTAATCATAGCCATTCTAATAAGTTTCTAAAAATATCAGTCTGTAAAACCATGTTGATGTTTATTAATAGGTTAGGCCTCCAACGAAAGCTCAGGAGCCCAGTTATCAGTTTTACAGAACAGTAACAATTGTGCTGATTTTGAAGAATTTATTGCTAATGCAAAATCAAGATCAATATATTTTATTCACCTGGGGGAAAAAAACACTTTACTCCAATTACTGGATTTAATGTTCCTTCCTCACTCAAACAGATGTTTTTGAAAAACTTCTTTGTATAGTATTTCATTCATTGGCAGAAAAATCTTTTGTGTTCACCTTAACTGCACAAGTAAACTTGAAGGGGAATAGATGCAGGAAATATGGGGTAGGCTGGAAACAGAAGGACAGAAGAACAAGAGACACTCTACATCACAAGTTGGTAACTCCTAGAATAGTTCTGTATATTGGATGGGCATGCAATGATCACCTAATCTATGAGTGCTGAGCAAAATCAAAATTCTAGCAAGTCAGCAGCAATACACATACATACAAACACCACAACCTTATGCCATTGTAGATCCAAAACACACTGCAGGAATAATCCAGTGTGAGACCGTTTCAACCGTCCTGGCTCCATGTTAGACGATTCTGGGAAGTGTAGTTTTGTGAGAGATTTAGCCTTCTCTGTTAGAGAGCTTTGGTGCCACAATAAACTACCCCCCTTTGCAGATGGCGCTTTGCACCGTCTTGGAGGCAAGGAAGGGGAGGGGCAGCCTCACGCTGGGTGCCCCAACCCCTTCCTGAGGATATAATCAGAGCGCCCGTTGTTGCACAGGACGGGCACTCTCATTACGTCCTTCCAGCTCAGCCTCCAGACACGCTGAGCTGGAAGAGATGCTGAAGAAAAAGAGCGGATCAGGGCTGAGGAGTGCGGCAGCCTCAGACCTAATCTGCAGCTTCTTGGGGCGGCCCATGGGCACCTGTCTGCAGAGGCCCTACAATTCCCAGGATTCTCTAGCACTGAACCAGAGCAGTTAAAGCAATCTCAAACTGGATTATTTCTGCAGTGTGTTTTGGACCATAATCAGCTTTTGGGGTCATTGCAGATGTCAGAATTCTATTCCGACTGCACAATGAACAATGCAACCTCCAAGTCAATCTTTGCCCAGTTGCACCCTCCCCAAGACAGCCATTTCTATGTCAGTGAGAGTGAGGCAGGAGAGTTATGTTCCTTTACCTGGACACACAGCAATAACTTCATCCTTACAGACCATCCAAGTATCCCTAAGGACACCTGCCTCAAGCCTTATCTGCACTGGCCAAGATACTCCAGGGGCAGCCTTGGGTATTCTGGCCCTGCTCCTGCCCTTGCCTGGCCCTTTTACCTCACCGCACTGTGGCAGCTATCTGCACAGATGTCCTTTTGGGCCATCCATGACATCCAAAACCACCTGGGTCATTCACTTATAAGGTCAGAACAAGCAACCCACAATGGTGGCAGATGTGCTGGGATGTCCAGTGGGATGCTCATAGAGTCATAGAATCATAGAGTTGGAAGAGACCGCACGGGCCATCCAGTCC